GCTATAGTTTGAAATATACTTTCATATGGAAGTACCAGCTTGGGAATAAGAATCTCATGGACTTTTCTTCTCAGGTTAGCTTTAAACCACAATCTTCAGATCTCGGCCTCCAGAGTAGCTAAGATTACAGACATGAGCCACCACAGTTCTTTACTGTGAGAGGATTCATTTTGGGATTACACACTGCATTTTGTGGTCATTTCTCTTTACTGTCCATAAGTCTGGGGTAACTCCTTTATTGCTCATGACCTGATACTTGAGAGTACAAGCAAGTTGCACTGTAAACTATCCCTCAGTAGAGTTCGTTTGCCTCCTTAGGGCTTGCTTCATGCTATGTATGTTTGTTTGTAATCAGATATCATGCTATTTTCATTTGTCCATTTCTGGCAACAATCATACATAACTTTGCTCAGCTACAATGTTATTGATTAGGTCTCTGTACTCTATAGTTACTTTGTAATTAGTAAGTATTTGGGGAGAAAAGTATTTTGAAACTACATAAATATTCCATTTCTCACCAGACTTTCAATTTATTTACCTGCTTATTTATTTATTATTACTTTTTCTTTCTTGTGTATGTGCCAGTCTTGGAGCTTGAACTCAGGGCCTGGGTACTGTCCTTGAGCTGCTTTTTGCTCAAAGCTAATGCTTGATCACTTGAACCACAGCTCCACTTATGGTTTTATTGAGTAGTTTATTAGAGATAAGATTTTCATGGATATTCCTGCCCAGGCTGACTTCAAACCACAATCCTCAGATCTCAGCCTCCTAAGTAGCTAAGATTACAGGAGTGAGCCCCCAACACCTGGTTTACCTACTTATTAAAATATCATGAACTTCTTTCTCTTTTTTCTTCCTTTCTTCTTCTTTTTTCCTTCCTCCTTTCCTTCCTCCCTCCCTCCCTCCCTCCCTTCCTTCTTTTTCATTCCTTCCTATCTTTTTTCATTCCTTCCTTGTTTATTTGTTTTTATGCTGATATTGGGGCTTGAACTAAAGGCTTCTCACTTTTGCTTAACTTTTTTTTTTTTTTTTTGGGTCCGGTCGTGGGGCCTGAACTCTGGGCCTGGGCACTGTCCCTCAGCTCTTCAGCTCAAGGTTAGCGCTCTACCACTTGAGCCACAGCGCCACTTCTGGCTTTTTTTCTTTTTGCTTATGTGGTGCTGAGGAATCGAACCCAGGGCCTCTTGCATGCAAGGCAAGCACTCTACCACTGAGCTACCTTTCCAGCCCATAAACTTCTTCCTTCCTTCCTTCCTTTCTTCTTTCCTTTTTTTGTCCCCCAGCTCTTCAGCTGTAGACCAGCGCTCTACCACTTGAGCCTCAGCCCCACTTCCGGCTTTTTCTGCTTATGTGGTGCTGAAGAATTGAACCCAGGGCCTCATGCATGCAAGGCGAGCGCTCTACCACTGAGCCACTTTCCCAGCCCATAAACTTATTTCTTTATGAGTTATAAACCTGTACTGTCATTGTTATTTTATTGTTCACTAGTCTCAGACTTGGCCAGTGGAAACTCTTTTCTTTTTTTTTTTTTTTTGGGTCCGGTAGTGGGGCCTGAACTCTGGGCCTGGGCGCTGTCCCTCAGCTCTTCAGCTCAAGGCTAGCGCTCTACCACTTGAGCCACGGCGCCACTTCCGGCTTTTTTCTTTTTGCTTATGTGGTGCTGAGGAATCGAACCCAGGGCCTCATGCATGCAAGGCAAGCGCTCTACCACTGAGTCACCTTCACAGCCCATAAACTTATTTCTTAATGAGCTATAAGCCTGTACTGTCATTATTATTTTATTGTTCACTAGTCTCAGACTCGGCCAGTGGAAACTCTTCATGACACTTCCATATCCTTTTATAATATTCTCTTCATTCTGTTATCTCTCGTTTGCTTTCTAGCACAGCAAAATCCAGATTCATCTTGTACTTTCTCTGCCCCAACCCTGGAAGCAGCCATTTCTTGGAGGAGCCTATTTCTTTTTAATAGAGGATGATGTTTAGAAATTAATATCTAGCAGCCTGAGTAGTGTCATCCCATCCACATACTCTTGCTGAAAAGAACTATGGATTGAATCTATATACATATATGTACATCTATATTTTATATCTCTCTATATATCTTAGAAGAAAATGGTAGAATTAACAATTTCTGTAACATATTCACAATCAATCCAAAACCATTAGGTCACATGAGGAAGCAAGAAAATGTGAGTCTTTCTTTCTTTTTTTTTTTGTTGGTTGTGTGGCTTGAACTCTTGGCCTGGGCGCTTTCCCTGCACTCTTCAGCTCAAGGCAAGTGCTCTACTGCTTGAGCCACAGCGCCACTTCCAAAGGTGAGGCTTTCGGGCTGGGAAGGTGGTTCAGTGGTAGAGCGCTTGCCTTGCATGCCTGAGGCCCTGGGTTTGATTCCTCAGCACCACATAAGCAAAAAGAAAAAAACCAGAAGTGGTGCTGTGGCTCAAGTGGTAGAGCGCTAGCCTTGAGCTGAAGAGCTGAGGGACAGCGCCCAGGCCCAGAGTTCAGGCCCCACGACTGGACCCCCCCCAAAACAAACAAACAAACAAACAAAAAAACACCAAATGTGAGGCTTTCTGAGAAGCAAAGTTAATCAATAGTCACTAATCTCATGATGACATAGAGACTGGAAGAATTTTCAACAGCTATAGTTATACCCAAAGATGTAGGGCTGGAAATATGGCTTAGTGGTGGAGTGCTTGCCTAGCATGCATGAAGCCCTGTACCACATAAACAGAAAAAGCTAGAAGTGGTGCTGTGGCTCAAGTGCTAGCCTTGAGCAAAAGCAGCTCAGAGACAGTGCTCAGGCCCTGTCCAAAGGGCCTGGCCAAAGAAAGTCCTCAGGACTGGCCAAAGAACGATGTAATAGAAAATATTATTATAGTAAATCACAAATAGGACACATCAAGAAAGAAATTATAACAATGAATAAAATGGTTGTTCTGCCACTGAAAATAGCAATATCTGTAATATAAAACTCATTGAATATTGCTTATGTAGCATATACAAGCCTCTGGCACACCATAAGATAAAACAAAACAAAACTTTTGTCTGACAAAACTCACTGAGTAGGTTTAACAGCAAATTTAGATGACAGAAGAAAGAATAAGTGAGCTAATTGTGATGATGCATGCTTGTAATTCCAACACTAGGGAGACGGAGACAGGAGATTGGTGAGTTCCAGACCATCCTGAGCTATACAAGAAACTGCCTTTTTTAAAAAAAAGAAAGAAAGAAAGAAAGAAAGGTTGCCTGTGGCTCACACCTGTAATCCTAGCTACTCAGGAGCCTGAGATCTGAGGATCAAGGTTCAAAGCCATCCCTGGCAGGAAGGTCCATAAAACTCATCTCCAATTAACCGGCAAAAATCTGGAAGTGGAGCTGTGGCTCTAATGCTAGAGCACTAACCTTGAGCACAAAAAGCTCAGGGACAGCTCCTAAACCCTGAGTTCAAGCCCTATGACCTGTACCAAAAAAAAAAAAAAATGCTGGGTGCCAGTGGCTCATGCCTATAATCCCAGCTCCTTAGGAGGCTAAGACCCGAAGACCAATTTGAAGCCAGCCTGAGCCAAAAGTCTGAGACTTTATTTTTTCCTTTGGTGTCTATCCTGGCGCTTGAACTCAGAGCCTGGGCACTGTCCCTGAGTTTTTTCTTCAGCTCAAGGCTAGCACTCTATCATTTGAGCCATAGCTCTACTCCTGACTTTTTGGTGATTTACTGGAGTTACAAGTCTTGTGGACTTTCTGCCCTGGGCTGGCTTTGACCCCCGATCCTCAGATCTCAGCCTTCTGAGTAGCTAGGTTACAAGCATGAGTCACCAATGCCAGGCCAAAATAGTATTCTTTTTTTAAAACAATTTTTGGGGGGGTCCAGTTGTGGGGCCTGGGGCTGGGAAGGTGGCTCGGTGGTAGAGTGCTCGCCTTGCATGCATGAAGCCCTGGGTTCAATTCCTCAGCACCAAATAAGCAGAAAAAGCCGGAAGTGATGCTGTAGCTCAAGTGGTTGAGCGCTAGCCTTGAGCTGAAGAGCTGAGTGACAGCGCCCAGGCCCATGACTGACAAAAAAAAAAAAACAAAACCAGTTGTGGGGCCTGAACTCTTGGCCTGGGCGCTGTCCCTCAGCTCTTCAGCTCAAGGCTAGCGCTCTACCACTTGAGCCACAGCGCCACTTCCGGCTTTTTTTCCCTGCTTATGTGGTGCTTAGGAATCGAACCCAGGGCCTCATGCATGCAAGGCAAGCGCTCTACCACTGAGCCACCTTCCCAGCCCTGAAACAGGTTTTTATTGACATTAAGTGATTACATAAATTTCACAAATTTAACAGTATTGTGGGATAGTGATACTTAGAGTCACATACACATTCTAACCTTCACAAGGCAAATTGTCATTATCATGGTCTATAAAATTTGTGAATTCTATAAGCTTTGGTAATACATCTCATTGTTGCAATGGGTCAGCTGTCCTGTTTACTTTGTCATATTTCCTTGCATTTTGGATTTAATATCCACATAACCAGGAGACCATGTGCCATTTGTCTCTCTGATCTTGGCTTACCTCAATCAGAATGATTTGTTCTAGTTCCATCCATTTCCTGCAAATACCATTATTTTGTCCTTTCTAATGGCTGTATAATATTCCATTGTATAGAGGTACCACAACTTTTGGATCCATTCATCTGTATTAGGGCATCTGGGCATCTGGCATATCTTGGCTCAAAATAGTATTCTTTTTTTTTTGCCAGTTCTGGGGCTTGAACTCAGGGCTGTCTCTGAGCTTTTACTCAAAGCTAGCACTCTTACCACTTGAGCCACTTTGGCTTTTTCTGTTTATGTGGTACTGAGGAATTGAACCCAGGGCTTCATGCATGCTGAGCAAGCACTCTACCACTAAGCTGCATTCCCAGCCCTCATCAAAATAGTATCCCTAACAAGTCTATGGATTGCTTGAATCTGTGGGAATGTACTATGTGTATCTGATCTTTCATGATCTTTTTCTTTTCAGATACACAACCCAATCCGGAGCTGAAAAACAGCCAGGAACAGCCTGTCCCCACAGGTAACGCTGGGTCTTTCCTCTTTAAAATCTTACCTTTATTGAGGAGTTTCCATATATGATATAAGACATGCATATATATGTATATATACATATATAATACATAAATATATATTTGGATATATGTGAGAGGATTCTGTTTATCACTAAGAGAGTCTGAGGATGACAATATGCACATAAAAATCCTTTAAAGTTGACTTCATACTTAAACTCTTTTTGTCTTTTAGAAAGTCCAACAGCTTCAAGTGACTACAGTTTAACCAAACCACATGAAATAGAAAATGTGGATAGTGCAGAAGGCCCAGCCAATGAAGATGATGATGTAGGAGGTAAGTTATCGTGTCCACACTGTACCTAGATATGGGCAAGACCTCTCCTACCAGGAAAGTTTGCATTTGTGAGATTAATGACAAGGGATTCCATTTGTTCATTTCACATATATTTGCATCTAATAGTTTGTTACAAGATGTTAACAAATCTTGAGAATATAAGATATCCATCAAGTTATATTAGCTTCATTTTAAATGTGTCTTTAAACTTTTTCTGCTCTAAAAGTAATACGTGTTCATTATAGAAAGTTTGGGGTGTTTTCCAGTATCAATAGCCTGCTCTTCGATTCTCCAGACAATAGTTATGTCCCTAATAACTCAATTTTTTTCTTTTTCTTTTTTTTTGTGTGTGGGGGGGGTGGGTCATGGGGCTTGAACTCTGGTCCTAGGTGCTGTCCCTGAGCTCTTCAGCTCAAGGCTAGTGCTTTACCACTTGAGCCACAGTGCCACTTCTGGTTTTCTAGTGGTTTATTGGAGATAAGAGTCTCACGAACTTTCCTGCCCGAGCTGGCTTTGAACCATGATCCTCAGATCTCAGCCTCCTGAGTAGCTAAGATTACAGGCATGAGCCACCTGCACCTGGGTTTTTTTTTCTTTTAAAGATCACTTTATTTTAGCTAACTCAAAAATAACATCAAAACAGCTAGTTTGAGGAGGCCACACAAATCTGGCCAGGCTCAAATTTTATAGCATCTCAGTGAACTTCATGTCCATTCAGAAGCAATGGAGCTACCCATGATGAAAGGGTTCATTTACTGGTTCATATTCTGTGCTTTCACTATCAATTACATTTTTATGCTAAGTTAACTTTGGTCATCAGAGGCAGTTTTCCATTCCTCCAGTTTCTTCTTTTTGATTAGACGAATCCATGTACAATTCTGCATCATTTCAGCGCCTCATTGAGGCCCTCACAGAGCTTAAAGTCACTCTGATTCTGGGTACGCTTCAAAAATGGTTTTATCTCATGAGCAAGGGCCACCACATTGCTGCTACTGCTGTGCCAGTGAGTGATGCCAGGCTGGGAGGGCTCAGCATTACCACCTTCCTGAAGACCCAATGTGTGCCTGACAGCACAGCCCGTAGCCACGCCAGCTGCAGAAGATGTCATCTGGGCTATCAGCCCTGGCTACTGGGGTGTAGCTACAAGAGAGCTAACTGCAGACACTGGGGCTGCTGGTGGTGGCCAGGGAGCTGCTGGTGAGAGCAGTGGCGGGGATAGTGGGGGTACCTGGGTGCAGTTCTCATCCAAAGGGCCGTGTGGGAAGTGTGGCTTCTACTTCCACGTGGCATCCTCAGTTCCAGGAGGCTGTACTTCTCCAACAACTCAGTTCTCATCCCAACTCCCAGTATTAATAGAAACCTCACATCTTGAGCGGTTAAGTCCCAAAAGACTGCTCCCATTAAAGATGTCAGGCTCAAGACTCAACTACTCAGATTACCTGTACCTCTGTCTTACTTGGATATAAAGTTGAGGAATCCCCTCTCCCCGGCCCCATACAATCATTTGCTAGGATGGTTTGTAGGATTTGTTCATTCCTTTACCTTCAGCTACCATTTCTCCTCTCCATTTAGTCCCTAAAATTTCCACCTTCATCAGGAATGTTCGGCTTGGCCACTGTGCTGGATGAGATTAGAGGCATTGGTAGTCAAACAAGCACCCCCCCACCCCCGTTCCCTTCCACAGAGGGCAAAACTGGCCCAGCCACAGAGCTGGTGTGCTGTTACTACCCATCAAAGGTACAGCAACATTCACTGTTAACCCCAATTTTGTCTGATGAAGTGAAGGCACAGCCTGCCTTCTTAGACTCTTGGAATTGTAAAGGTTTAAAACAATATTTTTGTTGTTGTTGTTTAGGAATAATCCCTGTTTCTAGCACTTGTAGTTGCATCCCTGGTCCAGTAATCCCTGCATCTGGAAGGAATTTTTTTTTAAAAATAGAGTTGTCATAGGAGATTCCTCTCCCTTGAGTTCAGTGTACAAACCTGATATCCCAGCTATCAGGGAGGCATCAGTAGAAGGATGATCACCTCGGCTAAGCCAAAAATAAAGGCAAGACACAGTCCCAACCTCCCCATTAGTTCTATCAACTGTTGTATGTGTATCTTCTTTAATCTAATTGGTTGAGGATCCTGCATCAACCCAAATATGCTTCTCTACTCTGCAGCATGTAACAACCAAGATAAAGACTGGGAATGCCATTAGTGGTAGAGTGCTTGCCTAGCAGGCATGAGGCCCTGGGTTCAATTCCTCAGTATCTCATAAACAAAAACAAAGCAAAACAACAACAACAACAACAAGATACAGTGCTGGGAAGTAGAGATGTGGCTCAAGTGACAGAGTGAGAGCAAAGGTTTGTGTTCAACCCCCAGTACTCTCACATGTGTGCACATGCACACACACACACACACACACACACCACAGAGTACCCACAGAGGTATCACTCAGTGGTTAGTTCAGTGTGCTTAGCATATACAAGTCTCTGATTCACAGCCTATTTGAACTGCAGTCCTCCTGGTTTTTTTATTTTCTTTTTTCACTTCCCCCAGTAGCTAGGATGACACGTGTATGCCACCACATCAAGCTTTTTCCATTAATATGGACTTAAGGGCTGGGAAGATGGCTCAGTGGTAGAGCGCTTACCTTGCATGCATGACGCCCTGGGTTCGATTCCTCAGCACCACATAAGCAAAAAGAAAAAAGCCGGAAGTGGTGCTGTGGCTCAAGTGGTAGAGCGCTAGCCTTGAGCTGAAGAGCTGAGAGACAGTGCCCAGGCCCAGAGTTCAGGCACCATGACCGGACCCAAAAAAAAAAGATGGATTTAAGTGTTCTGCCCAAGCTGGCCTCGAACCAAGATTTTCCTTATCTTATCCTCCCAAATAGCTAGGATTAGAGGCATAAAGTCACTGGCTTCAAGCTAGTTATTCTTTTTTTATTTTTAAACCACCGGTGCCTGGCTTGTGTAAGAATGTGTATGGCATCCAATCTCTAGCTCTCTGTCCTCCAACCCCAGAGGTCATTGGGTGAAGCTGAAAGTTCCAGCCCTTTAATTACTTGGTCTTTCTGGTGATTAACCTCATCCTGAAGCTGTGGAGAAGCCCCATCCTACGCCTCCTCATTAGAATGAACCCAGGTGCTTTTGGAAGGGCCTTGTTATAAATAAAATACACTCCTATCACTAAGGAAACTGCAGTAGTTTTAAGAGCTCTGTGCCCATAACTAGCAATAGGAGCAAAGATCAATTATATCTTTGTGTTATACTGTGGTGTGGAAGGTTCACTGAAGAAGGAATCTGAAAGAAAAACTCACCTCTATCTTACAACCCAAAGGTAAAATGTTCTATTAGCATTATGGAATACTTACATTCAGGCTGTGTGTGTGTGTGTGTGTGTGTGTGTGTATGTGTGTGTGTTTTGAGCACTAAAATTTATACTGCTTACATTTTATGCTGCTAAATATGTTAAAAATCTAATCATTATTGCTTTATGCATATCATTGAGATCTCATCTAAGATATCATTTCTTTCAGGAAAATTCCCTGACAACCCAGCCACTATTTGTGTGTGTGTGTGTGTGTGTGTGTGTGTGTGTGTGTGAGAGAGAGAGAGAGAGAGAGAGAGAGAGAGAGAGAGAGAGAGAGAGAGAGTATGTACCAGATGGGGGCTTGAACTCTGAGCTTAAGCACTATTCCTTAGCTTTATAGCTCCAGGCTAGCACTCTACCACTTGAACCACAGTTCCATTTCTAGTTTTTTTTTGCTGGTTAATAGGCATGAGTCTCTTGGACTTACCTTTCTTGTTTGGTTTTGAACTCTGATCCTTAGATCTCAGCCTCCTGAGTAGCTAGGATTACAAGTGTGAGCCACCCACACCTGAACCAGCCACCTAAAAAAAAACCCACCAAAAAAACTCCCAAAACAACAACAAAAAACCCACTGCCCCTCATTTTAAGTTTTGTATGACACCTAGCACAGATAATTTTGGAGTTTTGCTTGTTTATTTATTGCCTTCCCACCTTTCACTGATTGGTATTTGGAACTTTTTTTTTTTTTACTGCTAGGTACTTGGCAATAAATATTTGTTGAATAATTAAATGAAAATCCTAGATTAATTGTGTGTGTGTGTGTGTGTGTGTGTGTGTGTTTCTTGAGGGGAGAAAAGAGAATAGTTTCTTAGAGTTTTTTCTTTCGTCTTTGATTGCTGAAGGCCAAGAAATGAAATTCTTTGTCTAAAACTTCTGAGATTCAAATCACAGCTTCAACTCATGTTCCTGCTCTGTGGAGCTATATATTAATTTGTACCAGTTTCAAACCACAGAGGCAGAAGATGCTGCTGGTGCAGGATGTGGTCATGTGTACTGGGGAAAGGCACATGATGTCTTAGCTTCGTACAGCTTCACGATGACATCCATGGAGTTAGAGCCACAGTGAGGCAAATAAGAGATGTGCCCCTGGCTTGCATTTTTCAGAGTGAAGGCTTGAGTTCTAGGAGGTTATACTGGCCTGGGAATTTATGATTCATGTTGGCATTTTCTCTGGGTTCAATGTAGCCTTGGGTTTTACATTTACAGGTGACTAGGGGAGAAAAGAATGAATACCCCAACATAAACAAAAACAAACAAATAAATAATTTTCATTCAAACATGGCTTGAGCTCAGGGTTTCTAGCCCTTATTTGGCTTTTTTGCTCAAGGCTGGTGCTATACCAGTTGGACTACATCTCTACTTCTAACGATGAGACTTTAAAACACAGACTATAAGCTGGATGCTAGTGGCTCATGCTTATAATCCTAGCTACTTTGGAGGCTGAGATTCAGAGGGTCACTCTTCGAGTCCAACCCAGACAGAAAAGTCCACAGGACTCCATCTCAATGGAAGAAGCCAAGTGTGGTGGTATGTGTTTGTCATCTCAGCTACGACAGGAAGCCTAAAATAGGTGGATTGTGATCCAGGCAAGAAACTAGGAGGAAATGAGACCCATCTCAACAATCACCAGCATAAAAAAA